CTGTACAAGAATGCGTGAATATAGTAAAACATATTGTCTCTTCACTGATTGGTTTTGATGTTGATACGTGTGTACCACTTCACGACGCAGGTCTAGACTCGTTGTCTGCAATAGAGCTGGCTAGCAAGCTGTCTGCGCAGTTCAAAAGGCAGTTTTTGCCATCGTTAATTTTCGATTATCCCACCATTTCAAAACTGTGTGCGTACATATCAGACAGTCAACCGAGCCGTCATGCAGGCGCAGACATGAAACGTGCGCCAGACATTGTCATGCCCCTCCACACGCTCGCTAATGTGTCGCAGCATCGATGTATGTTATTGGCATCATCTGGCACGTCTTATGGAATCCGAAGGTGCGCAGACGATGCCATCCGCGTCACGCTGGATGACTCTTCAAGAATGCTGGCTTCAAGTGAAGACATGGATCCGCGGTTGAAAATGGGGTGCTTCCTGGATCATGTTATGATATTCGATTGGCGAGTATTTGGCATTGGTAAGGCGGAGGCTATGAGCATGGACCCTCAGCAGAGAATTGTACTTGAACATTGCCATGTAGTGTCACACACAATTGAACTTCATCTTGATACAGGTTTTGTACTTGGAATTGCTTCAGGTTCTTTCGCTATTTTGCACCCGTTTACATTTTCTGCATTTAGCGCACTAGGACAGCAAACTAGCGTGGCCTCTGGACGGGCCGCATACCTACTCGACATACACGGCCCCACAATCAGCGTGGATACGGCTTGCTCATCTGCGCTCGTTGCTTTGTACATGGCGTATTCTGATGTTTCATCCAGTCACGTTGCACACAGTTCTTCAAGAATGATGTTGTGTGGTGGTATTCATGTTATTGCATATCAGCACTCGCACCTATGTTTTCTAGCAGGCATGCTTTCTCCTGAAGGTCGATGCAAAGTGTTAGATGCTTCGGCAGATGGCTATGTTCGGGGCGAGTGTTGCGAGGTGCAAGCACTCATTTCTGAGACTGACGATACTCAGTGTGTCATAAAGTCATGTTTGGTCGTACAAGACGGACGAACGAGTTCACTAACTGCACCAAATGGCATCATTCAGACAACCCTGATATTAAGAGCCG